ACCTCCCAAGCCTCGCGCGCTCGGCGGGACCTCCCACCGGGCGCGCGAGGCTTGCAGACACTCGCCCGAGCACGGGAGCCCTCCGGAGGGCTCCCCGTGCTCGGCGACAGACTGCCGCCCCAAGCCTTGCGCGCTCGGCGGGACCTCCTGCCGGGCGCGCGAGGCTTGCAGACACTCGCCCGAAGCATGGGAGCCCTCCGGAGGGCTCCCGTGCTTCGGGCGACAAGCTGCAGCCCCAAGCCTTGCGCGCCGGGCGGGACCTCCTGCCGGGCGCGCGAGGCTTGCAGACACTCGCCCGAAGCACGGGAGCCCTCCGGAGGGCTCCCCGTGCTCGGGCGACTAGCTGCAGCCCCAAGCCTTGCGCGCCGGGCGGGACCTCCTGCCGGGCGCGCAAGGCTTGCAGACACTCGCCCGAGCACGGGAGCCCTCCGGAGGGCTCCCGTGCTCGGGCGACAAGCTGCAGCCCCAAGCCTTGCGCGCTGGGCGGGACCTCCTGCCGGGCGCGCAAGGCTTGCAGACACTCGCCCGAGCACGGGAGCCCCCCGGAGGGCTCCCCGTGCTTCGGGCGACAGGCTGCTGCCCCAAGCCTCGCGTGCTCGGCGGGACCTCCTGCCGGGCTCGCAAGGCTTGCAGACACTCGCCCGAAGCACGGGGAGCCCTCTGGAGGGCTCCCGTGCTCGGCGACATGCTGCAGCCCCAAGCCTCGCGCGCCGGGCGGGACCTCCTGCCGGGCGCGCAAGGCTTGCAGACACTCGCCCGAAGCACGGGAGCCCTCCGGAGGGCTCCCGTGCTTCGGGCGACAAGCTGCAGCCCCAAGCCTTGCGCGCCGGGCGGGACCTCCTGCCGGGCGCGCAAGGCTTGCAGACACTCGCCCGAAGCACGGGAGCCCTCCGGAGGGCTCCCCGTGCTTCAGCGACAGGCTGCTGCCCCAAGCCTCGCGCGCTCGGCGGGACCTCCTGCCGGGCGCGCAAGGCTGCGGACACTCGCCGGGGCTGCAGGCTGCTGCCTGCAAGCCTTGTGAGCCCGCGGGAACTCCCACCGGGCTTGCAAGGCTTGCGGATAGCTTCCTGAAGCCTGGAGAGCGAGAGGGGTCGGTGCGCACCGATGCCTCTCGCTCTCCAGGCTTCAGCGAAAGCCTGCATTCGCTCCATAGGACGCACACACATTTCCCCTTCATTTTTGCAGGGGAAAAAGTGCGTCCTATGGAGCGAAAAATATGGTAAACAGAGGAATGTTGGAAGATTTCATTATTAATGCTCTGAGTCTCTCTGCAGTTTCTGACCCTAAGGATTCGTTCAGTTGATAAAAAGAGGTGGAACCACTATACATCCAATCACTGCTCAGCACACATGTCTCCATCTTATAGTTTTTCCCTGCCTGTCTTCCCTAGTCCACAACCCAAGGGGGAGTAACTGCCAACTATTTCACATGTGAATAAGTAAAACTCAAAGGATATACGTGCACACGAGTCCATGGCAGAGGCAGCGCTCTGTTATAGGTCACTTCCACACCACAGTTAAAGCCCTCTTCTGCCCCTTTAACAGCCAGGGCTTCCCCCAAGAATCCTGAGAACTATAGTTTAAGGATGCTGGGAGTTGCTAGGAGACCTCACACAGAGCTATAATTCCCAGCTCTCTTAACAAGCTACAGGACCCAGATTTCTTCAGGGGAAGCCATGACTGTTAAAGTGGTATCAGAGTGTGGTATGGATGTGACCACAAAACAGGCTTTTCAGTAGAAACCTGAGGGAACGAGAGGAACTCGGTAGAACTGCAAGGCAAAAATTATTTATCTCCATGAGGTGAAATATTCCTGAGCAATGATTTAAGAGAAACCGAAACCCTAGGTTCACCACAGCAAAATGAAGGGAAAGTGGAACTAAACCAGGGCATAGGGGAACCAAGTAAATGTTTTTGATTATGCAGGAACTCTAAAGGAGCTTAGCATTTTTCACAGGATTTTCTTATTTGCAGGAAGAAAAAGGCTGTGATCCATTTCTGCAATGAAGTATCAACTACACCACCGAGTGCTTTCTGCTTCACTGATTCTACAATTAGAACAGCACTCTCCCCTCCAGAGAGGTTTTTTCTTTTTTAATGCTTATTTCATGGAGGAAAAATGGATGTGTCACAATACACTGTTTCAAAGATGGTATTTCGCAATTAAACTTAAATTATTTATTCATGGAGAAAATTAGCTTTGTCACATTCAAAGATCCTTTCCCCTTTCTTTTATGGTCTTAGATGCAACAAATTATGCATACCAGAAACTTGACAGTACTGGGGAAATCCCCGCAAAGTAATGTAAAACTGCATGTTAGTGGCACATTGAGCATACCATGTCAAATGATGGGAAATGTATTTAAAAAAACAAAAACACAAAAAAAACTTATATATGACAGACCAACGCAATTTAAGACAGTACCAAAAATAAAATAAAATAAATCACAATTCTGCTAGTGGTCAGGCTGTATGTATTTCTGCCCACCCTACTGGGGCACTTGCTATGTGAGCAACATTATGACATTTTTGCCTTTTTTACTTCGTATACATTTGCAGAATTGTTCTAGTTTCATATGGAGCATCATTGCCATGATTGTCACATATAGTTTAGTTTTCTTTACTGCAAGCCCATCCTCCGCTGGATCACGCAGTAGGGTACAAATTTAGCAAAGAATTTATTTGTGTACAAGAGCAAATCTCCTATGCATCATGTGTGGATTGTAGGCCCACTAATTACAGAAGCCCACCAAGGACCTACCTTTAATGCTTATTTACTCTGGAGATTCCCACTGGATAGTTTGCACGGTGGCCTTGATAAGCTGTTGTGTTGCTCACAAGGAATATTGTGAAAAATTCAAAACAAGGGATTGGGAAGCATAAGACATCTAATTCAGTAGACAAGACCAACAAGTGTCTTTGAAACAAACACAGAATTCAACTGCTGTGACGCTTCGCGGGGGGGGGGGATACCACCTTAGCCACAGAGCCGTCTTTCCTATTAGGCTTACTGGCGTGTTGCGCCAGGGCGCTGGTCTCTCAGAGGCGCCCCAGCGAGTGGGGGAGCTGCGCAGCTTTGCCAGCAACCTCCCCTTTCCCCTCTGCGATCCCCACAGAGGCTTGGGAAAAGGTCAACAACTCTGGGAAATGGAGGGATCTTTGCACCACGGTGCAGTATATGCTTAAGACGGCCCTGCTTAGCCATCTTCACAAAAGTAAGTTCTCATACATATTTCACACCATCCTAGAACTGTAAGGTAGGAAGGACCCTAAGGATCATCTAAGGCAAAACTTAGCGGCTCTTTAACAGGCAAGAACTTATAAATATTATGTGCCACAAATACAGAGCAAGAGGTGCTTACATATGAAAGAGGCCAGAGCTGCTCTCATGCAAACCTTCAAGTTCTGGCATACTGCTTCCACAGTATCTACGCTGGGCAACATTACATGCTGCAAGGCACACCAGGAAGATCTCAAGCCAAGGACTCCAGCATTCAGCTAACACCACCTTTCCTCCTGCATTGCCAGCTTCCTGGGCTTTCAAGCAGCTGTCGGCTGACTCCACAACCTGACATGTTCAGTTGGCCACCCAAACTAACATAGAGGCACCAGACCTTATAAAACCCTCCCACTTCTGGGCTACTGCAGTTTGACCAACTTATTGCACCAGATGACAGTGCAGCCTGCCTTGCCCTGCCTAGCCAAACCAGTAGCTGAGGTCTCCAGCCCAACTATGACTACATCTCCTGCCTTGGTCCTTCCTTGGTGCTGTCCAGAGCCTCCTCCCTCCATAAGCATAGCCAGTGGCCTGAAACCAGCTTTCACTCCTATGAATGTAGTATGTGAGCCAATCAAGTAGAAGCAGAAGACACCCCACATCTAGGGAGTGTAAGAATCAACTCCTTAGTTGACATCCAAAGAAATTCTGATTGAGATGTTACTTTATTCCCTCTATGCTAACAATTATATTGTTCGATAGATGGCCAAACTACATAAGAGGCAAAGCAGTGAAGTCTGTCTCATGCAATTGTAAATCGTCCATGAGTAAATTCCTGATCTTGGTCTTATGCAGTTAGTAAGTAAGCTATATCTATCTATCTGAAAGGAAGAGGGATAGCAGAAAGTGAGAAGAAGGCTGGTTTGTCCTTCATTGGGATTGTAGAACTCAGCAGCAGTTATCATGAGGATTAATGGCAAGCTTCAGTTAATGGACCTCTGCCAATACCTCAGGCCATTAACTCCTCCCTAGCTGTTATTAATCCTAAAGCAATACCTCGGACCTCTACCTTTATTGCTCACTCATAAAGCTGCCATCAAATCAACAAGTCCAAAGAATGTTGGCCTATTATTAGCCATCCTTCCTTCCTTTCTTCCTATTCTTTCTTATAAAACAAATTATGCTGTAAAATCAGTTTAATTGCTATCTCTTATATAAGGTTAGCAGTCCTCGCTTTTGGAATATGGCAAGCATTTTCCTCATTCGTTTTAGAGCACGTTGCTACCAATTATTATAGCTAGAAGAGCGAGTTTGACATGTAAACACTCTTCCTCGCTCTCACTCACAACCACCTTTAAAGGTAGGTAGTTCAATGCAGTTCCCAAGTGAACTGGAAACAGCACAGCAATTAATTAAATATTGCTTTTACAAAAAAGGGTTAACCAGCCCCCGTCAGTACCAGAGCCTGTCTAACTTCAAAAACCTGTCTCCCTCTTTCTTTGGGACAAGGAAATGTGCTGAGTTGAACATGGGTGTGTAGAAAAGGGTGGCAACACGGCTAATTATTACACAAAATCCAGAATTTATTGAGCAGGGAGGGATGGAAACAAGCCCACAATACTTGGAAGAGAAAACATATTTGAATGAGGAGCACGTGAAGTTCAGCACCAGGAGGCCAAAAGGACAAAATGGAAGGAAATGTCACGAGGAGGAACACAAGTCTGGGCCCACTCTTATACACATGTAGGATTGAAGCAATGAAGAACTCCATACACAGAGATTGCCTCAATTATACAGCCCCTTATACGCTAACGTTTGTCTAGCTCTGTGGTTTTTTTCTTCTTCAATAAGGGGTAATTACAATTACAAATGGTTGCATTTATTTATAACATTACAAAGGGGAAAATCCGTAATCTGCGTGCTGTTCTTAACAATCGTTCTTGTATTTTTACCAACACCAATTTGTCTTGTCTTGCTTGCTCATGGGGAGAAGGAAGAAATCTAATCAAATTCTTCTGAGCATTTTTCTCTGCTGTAATTTAGCAGTAAAGCTGGCATGGTGCCTAACCATGTAAAAAGAGAGAGAGAGAGAGGAGAGGGAAACATTTGAAATGCTGCAACTATAAAATAACAAGGAAGCTTTTAGCCACATTCAGGCAGAGGAGACTACGAAAATGTTTACTTGTAATGTGGTTAGCATATGAAAAGATTAATCCAGCAGGATAATACCTTTCAAAATTGTGAAATTGTCTGCCTTGATATATAAATATTTTATGTAAATAGAGCATGATATGAGGTTCATAACATTTAGATTTAAAAAAAAAATCAAATCCAATGGCCCCATAGCCGACTACACATAATACTTCTTAGACTTGCTCTCTTCTTGCACTGGTAATGAAACGACATGAATTCTGCTATTTGTTTACTCTGACAGTGGCGCCAGTGGTTCTGTCTGCGAAAGCCACTGAAACACCATCACCCTAAAATGGAAGACTGTGTCCACTGACAGCCAGCAGTTGTGTTTCTCGGTGGCTTCAGGCAGACCAGCCAAGATTGCTCCTAGCGATGTTCCTCCAGCCAAAGGTAGCAGGGTCATTGCTGCCTGCCAGTAGATGAGCCAGCTACTCCAAAGACAAGATTCCATTGACAGTTTGCTCCTTACCAAAACAGCTGGGAATTACTGCCTTATGCAACATTAAATCCCTTTTAAGTTCTTACTTGAATCTATGAAAGACCCAACTCCTTTCATATGTGTCTGATACAAAACCTAAGAACTTTGATGCATGCTAACTACCCTTGAAAATCACAAGTGTTTTGGTTTGTTTTTTTTTAAAAAAAACACACATTAATATCTCACATTTCTACTGTCTTGGAAGCCCAACACATGTGGTTTCCATGTGATTTGTCATCTAGCACACTGGCTATATCCAGACCTGCATAGCTTCAGCAAGGTGATAACAACAACAACAACAACAACAGTTGTTTATTTATACCCTGGCCATCTGGCTGGGTTTCCCCAGCCACTCTGGACAGCTCCCAACAGGATATTAAAAACACAACAAAAGATCAAACATTAAAACCTTCCCTAAACAGGGCTGCCTTCAGAAGTCTTCTAAAAGTCAGAGTTGTTTATTTCCTTGACATCTGATGGGAAGGAGTTACACAGGGCGGGCGCCACTACCAAGAAGGCCCTCTGCTTGGTTCCTGATAGCCCCACATTCCTTCAGACCATGTCCTGGGACCATTATGCGTCTACTATTCATTCCTCCTGTTAAACTCTAATCCTCAGTCCATTGTTCCAACCTTTAAGGCTGCCTTTACAACAAACAGAAGTGAATTTGAGTTCCTACCTCTCCAGGACTCTAGGAGATGTGAAAAAGTAACATCTCGGAAAAGAAACTATAAAGAAAGCAAGAAACAAGGCTTTTCCAAATGTCATCACTAGAAAAATGAACAACATTCCTGCATAAGTCGGTGTGGAACAGTGGTCTGAGTGTTGGACTATGACCTGAGAGACCAGGCTTCAATTTCCCCGCTCAGCCAGGAAACTCACTGCAGGACTTTTGAACAGTGTCTCAGCCTTGCATGCCTCTTCTTCCCATCCCTCCAGCCCTCTAAATATTCTGGGGTTTCTGTCAACCCTCCGAAACAGATTTAGGGAGGGTGCAGGTCATGAAGTGGGGAGGAGATAGAGGAAATCCCATTGCATTAGTGGACAAGCTGAAGAAGTTGGATATCACCCAGTATAAACTTTTGACTCCCTCCCCCTTTTGCAATGTAGTCTTTTTTGGGGAGCAGTTGGGTTTTCCCCCTCAAACCTGCTGATACCTCCTTGTGTGAGAGTTTTGCTGTTTTGACTGCTTACGCAATGACACTCACAACCTGAACACTGGCAATAGAATGATGTACAGCAACTCACAATTTTTCTTTTTCAGCAAGTCCAAAAATATTTTTATTTTTCAAGTATACAGCACTGGGGGGGGGGGGACCACTAGGGTGAGATGTGGTGTACCAGCCCCACAAAACTAATTTCTAAGATAAGAGTTCTAACATGTAAAAATATAATTCCATTGTCAGTATTCAATTATTATCACCTCCACTGCAATGACAGTTCTAATTGGACAGATACAGTGGGGGTGGGGATATGATCCTTCAAAAATTAAGGAAAAGGAGAAAATGATGCCATGTTCAGATGCATACCAAATTAAGATTCCTTTATTGTGCATTAAAACTTGAAATAAACTGCAGCAAAATAGATTCTTTCAGATAACAAATGCTTTGCTGTAGCAACCATCTCTTTCTATGTTTTTATTATTTTTGGTAGCGAATCGGCACCGTTGCTTCCAAAATGCAGCATTCTCAAAAACATAACCATTAGGGTAGTTGTTACATATTTAATTTCATGCTTCATTCAGCATAAAGCAGTTGTGGGATTGCTGGGCAGAGCAAATTAAGTAATCGGTTAGATAATTTCCTGCTTAATTGAAAGCAGGTAGTGGGGTTTTTTTTTCCCTTCCAAAAAGTAATAATTGATTTTGCTTCTAATGAAATGTGTACCATTTTCTCCCTCATTCCTGTTACTCCCATTATCTGCACACAGCCAAGAAAAGGGAAATGAGAAACAAGGGGGAGAAGGGGGGAAAACTCAGTAGTGTTGAAAAAATACTGCTGGTTAAAAGGACACAGGGACACTGTATTAAACCAAGTGCTCAGGGGAAGTGAAGAGAACCAGGTTAGTGGAAGATGTTGCTCCATTCTTCACTCTTGCCATTGCTTGCTTGGCTGAAGAGGACAGGCGAACTGGCAGTGGCAGCAGGCAGGAAGAGCAGGATCAGGGCCAGAAGCCTCCAGAGAATGGCGCTTGGTCCCTTGCAGGGGTGCGGGCCTTGGCAGGTACCCTACAATGCCTATTCCCGATGAGGCTCCTGTTCAGGACCCCATACTTCTGTGGCTTCTGCAACAATATGCTCTTCGTTCCACATACATTCACACAACCCCACAGAGAAGTGCATTGTGGATACTGCCATTAATGTAGGGTTGCCAAACGTCCGGAAGCAGTATCCGGGCAGAAATCTAAAAAATGTTGGGGGAAATCCAGACGTACGGTAACCCATGTAGGCAGTGTCGTTTTTGGTGATTTTCCTTTAAAATAGCTCCAAAAAGTCTTTTTTAAAAATGGGAAATTGCCAAAAAAGTTCAACAACTTTTCTGTCCAGGTTTTCACCGTTTGAAATATGGCAGACCTACATTAATGTCCAGTGCAGATCTAAAGCTGCTTATCTTTCAAAGCAAGTTTTCCCCCTTTGTTTCCTTTTCAGCAAAACTGTGGTGCAGTGCAAGAGTGGCTTAACCTATAGCCCTCTAGGTGCTGCCGAACTACCTCTTCCATCATTCCTGTCTGTTGGCCATGCTGGCTGGGAATCATGGGAGACTGCATCCAACAACATCTGAAGGACCACAGTTTCCTCCACCTCTAACTAGGACTAACATTCAATCAGTGTTTGGAACCAGAATTTGAAGCTGATCTACATTCCGATTATTTTTAACCGTAGTCAGTACTAGGGCAGATGATACGCTATGCATTGCTAATGGTAACAGGGGAGGGGATTTATACAGTTTTCAGCCCACCACCAGATTTTGATTTCTGAACCATGGTGATTTGTCTTATTTGAGCCTAATAACCAGCTCATTGCTACAATGACTCCACCCCAAAAAAATTTTTTTTGCAAGTGTTAGGTTCATTCAAAAATATATTTAATGAAATAAAGGACTGAGAATCCTTCTAATATTATTTCTAAAAATATGCCTAAATCTGAAAAAAACCAGGTTGACTCACATCCATCTCTTTTTTCACTCATTCAAAACACGCTGAAGAGAAAATCAAATTTTGCAAGTTTTAAAATGTCCTTGTGCACATATGGCATGATCAATTCAGTGTTTTGACAACTCTGTATGTGTGTGTGTGAACCTGACACTTGTAAAAAGTTTTGTTTGAAAAGTTCTTACCTGTAGCACGTTTCCTACAGATATGGGAATAGCTAAAGATTGAAAATGCAATTCTATATTTAGCCCTTGAAACCATTGACAGAACACAGGAATTGATATTCAAAACATGTTCATAATTACCAGGAAAAGGTTGGTGGATAAAAAAATGGCATTGATGAACAAAATGAGATGACACTTTGAATTAAAGACAATACCAGTTAGTTGAAATCTAGGGAAGGAAGGGAATTATAGATAAGTTGTGTGTGTGTTTTTAAACCAGTCATCTTTCAGTAAAGATCCTGCAGCATTGTCTGGGAATTTGGGCTTGCAATTTCATGAGTAAATTGAAGTTCATATAGCTTCCCCTTATTTAGGGGTCTACAGCACAGCTTCTCAAGAGAGAAAACAGCTTTGCTATGGTGAATATAAGGAGCTATCCACAGAGAAGGGATCATGTCATGCTTGATTTTTAAAATCAAAGTTGTTTGAAGAGATCTTCCTAGACAGGAGGACACAAACAATATCAGCAGAAAGAAACTAATTAAAAATCTTAGCAAAGGGGGCCGGGAGACAATCAGATTATACACTGGAGGTGAATTCTAGAAAAACACTTGAGGACCATTGACAGGGGCAGGATCTAATCAAAGATCTATGAATTCATGGATCGTGAAAAACAGGAGGACAGATTTCCCACTGCTCATATAGATTCATGTTTAAGGTGTAATGACAAGAGGATACTAAACTCATTCCTGTTAGTGATTGAAAGCAAATTATTAAGCTTCACTGAACTGTTCCTTATTTATCCTTATTTGTCAGGGATGTGTATACCTGTGAAGAGATCCAAGATTTAGAACCTCAAAGCCAAAGTGAGAGCATTTGGGTCAAAATTAAGGGAGAGAAGAATAACAGTGACCTCATTGTGGGAGTTTACTATAGATCCCCAAGCCAAACGGAGGACATAGATGATGCCTTCCTGGAACAGATGGCCAAGCATGCAAAAGGAAGGGAGATAGTAGTAATGGGGACTTCAATTACCCGGATATTTGTTGGATGTCAAACTCAGCCAAGAGCATAAGGTCAAACAGATTCCTCACTGGCCTTGCAGACAACTTCATTGTCCAGAAAGTGGGAGAAGCAACAAGAGGAACAGCCATTTTAGATCTGGTCCTAACCAATGTTGATGACCTGGTTAGTGGGGTAGAAGTGGAAGGATCATTAGGCGCAAGTGATCATGCTCTTCTGAAGTTTACTATACAGCGGAAAGGAGCAGCCAAGCATACTAGGACTCAATTTCTTGACTTTAAGAAAGCTGACTTCATAAAACTTAGGGAAGTGCTGGGTGAGATCCCATGGACAGTAATACTAAAAGGAAAGGGAGTTCATGATGGCTGGGAGTTTGTTAAGAGGGAGATACTAAAAGCACAACGTCAGGCAATACCAATGAGACGGAAACATGGAAGGTGCCTAAAGAAGCCAGGGTGGCTATCTAAAGAACTTTTAACTGAGTTAAGATTAAAAAGGATGTGTACAAAAAATGGAAAAGGGGAAACCACCAAAGAGGAATTCAAACAAATAGCCAGCACGTGTAGACACAAAGTCAGAAAAGCTAAAGCACAGAATGAACTCAGGCTTGCTAGAGAGGTTAAAAGCAACAAAAAAGGCTTTTATGGGTATGTCCGTAGCAAAAGGAAGAACAAAGAAACAGTGGGGTCACTCAGAGGAGAAGATGGTGAAATGCAAACAGGGGACACAGAAAGAGCTGAACTCCTCAATGCCTTCTTTGCCTCAGTCTTCTCCGATAAAGAAAACAATGCCCGACCTGAAGAATTTGGAGCAAATGATTCAGCAAAGGAAACACAGCCCAGAATAACTAAGGAGATAGTACAAGAATACTTGGCTAGTTTAGATGTATTCAAGTCTCCAGGGCCAGATGAACTGCATCCAAGAGTATTAAAAGAACTGGCAGATGTGATCTCAGAACCACTGGCAGTCATCTTTGAGAATTCCTGGAGAACAGGCGAAGTCCCGGCAGACTGGAGGAGGGCAAATGTTGTCCCTATTTTCAAAAAGGGGAAAAGAGAGGACCCAAATAATTACCGCCCAGTCAGTCTGACATCAATACCAGGGAAGATTCTGGAGCAGATCATTAAGCAAACAGTCTGTGAGCACCTAGAAAGGAATGCTGTGATCACCAATAGTCAGCATGGATTTCTGAAAAATAAGTCATGTCAGACTAACCTGATCTCGTTTTTGACAGAATTACAAGCCTGGTGGATGAAGGGAACGCAGTGGATGTAGCCTACCTTGATTTCAGCAAGGCATTTGACAAGGTGCCTCATGATATTCTTGTAAAGAAGCTGGTAAAATGTGGTCTTGACTATGCTACCTGTGATGGGATTATGAGCTGCTTGTGCGTAAAATCGTATTCCCTCAGAGTTTGTTCAAGTCCACAAACCTCTGTCTGTGACTGAGCCCCTCTGACATGGCTCCTCTAGTCACTAGAAGATTCCGACAGTGGTTGCTTTCGTAATCGCTTCCAACATAAAAGCTCCTTAACGGAAACACGTCTTCTGGACTCTCTGCGTGACAGTTTCCGGCGAGGAGTGGGTGTCGCTACAGGAGGTCCGGAAACCTCACCACTGTTTTCGCTGGAAGTATCTCTGAGCCATCCCCCAGCTCCCTTTCCCTCAGTTCAGCTTCTCTCCCCTGCTGGTTTCCTCTTCAGCTGCTGAGTCTCTTCCAACCTGTCTGAGCCCTTTCACCTCCCTCAGTTCAGCTTCTCTCCTTGCTGGTTCCCTCTTCCGCTGCTGAGTCTCTTCCAACCTGTCTGAGTCCTTTCACCTCCCTTCCTTCCGATGGCAGTTCCCTGACATCCACCTCCCCTCCAGGGCCCCCTTCACCCCCTCTCGCCCTCTCCTCTACGGGCGGTGAGGAGGCAAAACCCCGGAATGAACTTCCTTCATCTTCCGATGTCTCGAACACTTCTCTCCACCTGTTGCGGTTCCTGGTCTCAAGCACTCCTCCTCCTCCGAGTCCATCTCCCTTCCCCTTCCGATTCTGGGAATCCTTCCAACTCCTCCTCCTCCTCAGTGGTCCCAAAGTATTCCCTCCGGAACCTCTCCACAGGCTGAGGTTTCCGCGGGAACCTTTGATGGAACATTTCTATCAATACCTCGTCATTGATATCTTTGGCCATTACCCACGTGTTTTCTGACTCCGGCTCTCCTTCCCACGCTACCAAATACTCCACCTGATTCCCCTTCCACCTGGCATCAAGGATTTCTGCCACATGACTGCTGCATTCTCTTTCTTCTATGACCGGTCCCCGAGTGGCCATCCCTTCTCGTCCCCTCGTACGGTGACAGTAACGACCTGTGAAATACTGGGTGCAGTTTCATGTGGTTGGGTAACCGGAGCCTGAAAGCCACTGGGTTGACCTGTTGAATGACCTCAAAGGGACCCAACCTCCTGGGTCTTAATTTCTTACAACCTCCTTTGAACGGCAACCCTCGGGTTGACAGCCACACCCTATCTCCAACCCTTATGGTTTCACCTTCCCTTCGGTTCTTGTCTGCCTGCCTCTTGTATTCTTCCTTCGCCCTTTCTAAGTTGAGTTGGAGCTGACGGTGGATTGCTTCCATTTCTTCTACAAAATGCTCGGCTGCCGGTACGCTCCATCTCTCCCCTTCTCCCCCGGGAAAGCCCTGGGATGACACCCATAATTAGCCAAGAAGGGGCTCATCCCTGTGGACACATTCTCGGCATTGTTGTAGGCAAATTCCGCCAGCGCCAACTTTTCTACCCAGTCATTCTCTCTGTCATTGACATAACACCTCAGGTATTGCTGGAGGACACCGTTTGCTCTTTCCGCCTGCCCGTTGGTTTCAGGGTGCCGGGCAGTCGAAAAGTTGACCTCCACCTGCAGTAAGCTCATGAGCTTCCTCCAGAACCTGGAAGTAAATTGTTTTCCTCGGTCTGAGACCACCCACAATGGCACCCCGTGCAACCTAAAAATGTGTTCTACAAATAACTTCGCTGTCTCTTCCGCCGTGACTGCATGCGAGCAAGCTACAAAGTGGCACATCTTTGTTAGTAGGTCTACCACCACCATGATGGCTGTTTTCCCTTTGGACTTCGGCAGATCAGTCATAAAATCTATCGACACTGCCTCCCAAGGTCGTTCTGGTGTTGGTAAGGGTTCTAATAGCCTCGCCGGCGCCCGCCTTTCCCTTTGGCTCGCTGGCACTGCTCGCACCCTCTTACATACTCACGTACATCCTCCTCACCTTAGGCCACCAAAATTCCCTGGTGACCAACCACATGGTTTTGTGTTGCCCAAAATGCCCGCCGTGGGGCTGTCATGCAACTGCTTGAGTACCCTCCCCTTAAGTCTCCTTCAGGGATATACAGTGCCCCTTTGTAATACAAAGCTCCATTTCTTTCCTCGAAACCCCTTGATTCCTCTCCCTCATCCCTAAGACCTCTAAGCTTATTCTGGGCGTATTCATCATTCTCTGTTTCTTCTACCAGTTCTCTTTGTCCCACCAATGCCGCCCCACACACCCAGCGGTCCTCTGGAATGACATGTCTCTCTTCGGGTGCTCCTCCCCTCCAAATATTCAGGTTTGCGTGAGAGAGCGTCCGCCCTAATGTTCTCTGGGCCTGGCACGTAACAAATCTCAAAGTTAAATTTGGAGAATTCCTGGGCCCATCTCACTTGCCGTTGGTTGAGCACTCGTGCCGTCCTCCAATACTCTAGGTTCTTGTGGTCAGTGCACACTTGCACCTTATGTTGTGCGCCAATTAGCAGGTGCCTCCATCTCCGGAACGCCTCATGAATGGCTAGTAGTTCTCGGTCATACACCGTGTAGTTCCTCTCGGATTTGTTCAGCTTGCGCGAAAAAAAAGCACACGGTCTCCACTCTGACTCCTCCTTCCCTGGCTGGAGAAGCACCGCCCCAACCGCTCTGTCTGATGCGTCAGTTTCCACTCTCATCGGTTTTTGTAAATCCACATGCAGGAGCTGTTGTTCCGAGGCGAAGGCCCTTTTAGTTCCTCAAATGCTTGCTCCGCCTCCTCCGTCCAAACGAACTTCTTCTTACTGCTGAGACAGTCCGTAATGGGCGCCGTCAGGTGGGCAAAGTTTGGGATGAACTTACGATAGAAGTTCCCAAACCCCAAAAACCTCTGCACATCCTTCCTTGTTTTGGGTGTTTTCCATTCCAGTACCGCCTGGACCTTGCCGGGATCCATGGCCAACCCCTTGTCAGACAGGCGATACCCCAGGAATTCCACCTCCTTGGTATGAAACTGACACTTCTCCAGTTTCACCCACAGCTGGCTGGCTTGCAGCCTGCTCAACACTTCTCTGACGTCTCTCACATGCTGCTCCTCATTCTCAGAATACACCAACACGTCGTCTAAGAAGGCCACACAATTCTTGTAAAGCAACGGCCCCAGGACGTGGTTCATAAACGATTGAAATGTTGCGGAGCCTGCTTGTAGACCGAAGGGCATAACTAAGTATTCAAATGCCCCTAAAGGGGTGAACATGGTGGTTTTCCATTCATCCCCCTTCCTTATTCGTATCAGGTTGTACGCCCCTTAGATCCAGCTTGGTGAAAATCTTTCCCTTCCGCACCCTTGTCAAAATGTCGTCAATCCTGGGCATCGGGAAGGCCACTGGTTCTGACACTGCATTTAAGGCCCTGAAGTCACACACCAGTCTCGGCTTGTTCGTGTTTTTTTGTCCACAAAAACACTGGGCTGCCCCCCCCACCGCCCTGGACTCTCTGATGAACCCTCTCTTCAGGTTCTTGTCAATGAACTCTCTTAGCTCCTGCATCTCTCTGTCTGACATGGCGTACAGCTTGCCCACAGGGAGCTGTGCCCCAGGGAGCAAATTGATTTGACAGTCAAAGGCTCTATGCGGTGGTAGTTGGTCAGCTCCCTTTCGCTGAAGACGTCGCGGAGATCTGCGTATTGTCGTGGTACGTTCACGTTCTCCGTCACTTCAGTCCCTGCTAGGGTGGCTTGGGCCCCTGCCAAAACCTTCCCTCTTTGCAATGTTCTAAGCAATGTGCTGACCCAAAAGAAACCACTCTTTGATGCCAGCCCACCAGCGGATCATGTAACGCTAGCCAGCTCATCCCCAATATAATGGGAGCTCCTCCCAAGGTGGCCACATTAAATGCTATTAGTTCGGTGTGTCTTGCCACCTTCATTATCATTGGGACGGTCTGCAAGCTGACTTCTCCTCCCAACAGCTCCCTGCCATCGATCGTGGTTACCTGCAGGGGGTTGCTTAAAGGGAGCGTCTGTATCTGGTGTTCAGCTGCAAACTCTTTGCTCATGAAATTGCAGGAGCTGCCTGAGTCCAACAGCGCCTTTATCTTTAGAGGGTGTCCGTTTGGCAGCTCTAGTGTCACTTCTATCACTAGGGCGGGTTTAGGAGGTTCTGGAGTGGGCACTTTCACTGCTCTTTGGCCTGGCTGCTGTGCCCCGACAATGGCAGCCAGGCGTTGGCTTTTAGTTGCTCCGGTATTTTTCCTCTCTTCCCTCCACAGCTCCCACCATCCCTTGCCATTCCTTCCTCTGGGGGCAGACTCTGGCAAAGTGCCCTGGCTGTTGGCAGAGATAGCATTTCCGGGCGCCTTTTCCATCCTTCTTTCCCCTCACTGGGCTTTGAAACTGCAGCGCGCGCGCTGTTCCGATTTCCATCGGCTCTGCCGGCGGGACAGTTGGCTCTGGAATGTCTGGAATGCGGAACTCCTTCCAACGTGCCCCTTCCCTTCCCGCCTCTCCAATGCTCTCGCCTCCTGGCGCGCTCCTATGGCCAGCGCTGATTTGGTCAGCTGGTCCATAGACTCCGCCCTGGGCGCCCGGGAAAGTTCATCTTTCACAGCCGAAGAAAGCCCTTCTTCAAAGAGCATTTGAATGGGTTCCGCCGATAAGTCCCACCCCAATCTGTGTATCAGCATGGTGAACTCAGTCCAGTACTCACGTACAGATCGGCTCCCCTGTTTGCAAGCCATTAACTGTCTGCGCACCACTCCCTTTTCAATATCGCTGGAAAACATCAGATCCATGGCGCGAAAGAACTTCATCGTGTCCTTTAGGACGTCACTATGCGCTGCCATCAGGGGTCTAACCCAGTCTCTCGCCCCCTTTCAAGATGCCCAATCACAAAAGCCACTCGTGATTCCTCATCAGGGAAATCATCAAACTGCAGATTGAGGGCATATTGCATTTCTGTCCGAAAGCTATGATAGTCCTTGGGCTCCCCCCCAAATTTCTGCACCAATCCTGGTACCTTTCTGGCGAGCTGGGTGGCTTTCTCCCATTGTCTGCATCTTGAGCCCTCCTCTCCTCCAGCCTCGCCGTCTGCAGCGCCAGCTGGACCTCCAACACCCGGTACCTTTCTTCCAGGCTTGGACCCGCTCCAGCCCCTGCTTCTCCGGTTCCTGCTGGGTTGCTCATTATGCCTTCTCCTGCACAAGCTGCGTTCAAAGACTGTCGGAATGCTGTGATGGGATTATGAGCTGCTTGTGCGTAAAATCGTATTCCCTCAGAGTTTGTTCAAGTCCACAAACCTCTGTCTGTGACTGAGCCCTCTGACATGGCTCCTCTAGTCACTAGAAGATTCCGACAGTGGTTGCTTTCGTAATCGCTTCCAACATAAAAGCTCCTTAACGGAAACACGTCTTCTGGACTCTCTGCGTGACAGTTTCCGGCGAGGAGTGGGTGTCGCTACAGGAGGTCCGGAAACCTCACCACTGTTTTCGCTGGAAGTATCTCTGAGCCATCCCCCCAGCTCCCTTTCCCTCAGTTCAGCTGCTGAGTCTCTTCCAACCTGTCTGAGCCCTTTCACCTCCCTCAGTTCAGCTTCTCTCCCCTTGCTGGTTCCCTCTTCCGCTGCTGAGTCTCTTCCAACCTGTCTGAGTCCTTTTACCTCCCTTCCTTCCGATGGCAGTTCCCTGACACTACCACTCAGTGGATTTGTAACTGGCTGACTGACCGAACCCAAAGGGTGCTCATCAATGGTTCCTCTTCATCCTGGAGAAGAGTGACTAGTGGGGTGCCACAGGGTTCTGTCTTGGGCCCGGTCTTATTCAACATCTTTATCAACGACTTGGGTGATGGACTCAAGGGCATCCTGATCAAATTTGCAGATGACACCAAATTGGGAGGGGTGGCTAACACCCCAGAGGACAGGATCACACTTCAAAACGACCTTGACAGATTAGAGAACTGGGCCAAAACAAACAAGATGAATTTTAACAGGAGAAATGTAAAGTATTGCACTTGGGCAAAAAAATGAGAGGCACAAATACAAGATGGGGGACACCTGGCTTGAGAGCAGTACATGTGAAAAGGATCTAGGAGTCTTGGTTGACCACAAACTTCACATGAGCCAACAGTGTGACGCGGCAGCTAAAAAAGCCAATGCAATTCTGGGCTGCATCAATAGGAGTATAGCATCTAGATCAAGGGAAGTAATAGTGCCACTGTATTCTGCTCTGGTCAGACCTCACCTGGAGTACTGTGTCCAGTTCTGGGCACCACACTTCAAGAAGGACATTGACAAACTGGAACGTGTCCAGAGGAGGGCAACCAAAATGGTCAAAGGCCTGGAAACGATGCCTTATGAGGAACGGCTAAGAGAGCTGGGCATGTTTAGCCTGGAGAAGAGGAGGTTAAGGGGTGATATGATAGCCATGTTCAAATATATAAAAGGATGTCACATAGAGGAGGGAGAAAGGTTGTTTTCTGCTGCTCCAGAGAAGCGGACACGGAGCAATGGATCCAAACTACAAGAAAGAAGATTCCACCTAAACATTAGGAAGAACTTCCTGACAGTAAGAGCTGTTCGACAGTGGAATTTGCTGCCAAGGAGTGTGGTGGAGTCTCCTTCTTTGGAGGTCTTTAAGCAGAGGCTTGACAACCATATGTCAGGAGTGCTCTGATGGTGTTTCCTGCTTGGCAGGGGGTTGGACTCGATGGCCCTTGTGGTCTCTTCCAACTCTATGATTCTATGATTCTATGATTCTATGATCTGATTTGTAACCCACCCAACCCTCAGAGCTCAGAATGGATAACAGATGCTTACAAACTTGAGGTAATTTTAATCTGCTTTAGCATTTTAACTTTGTATGTTTTAAAGTAGGGTTGTAATTTTTTCTTGATTTTACTGTTTTCTCTTTTGTAAACTGCTTTGAGAGTGTTTTTTTAAAACCAAGCGGTATACAGTGGTACCTCGGTTTACGAACTTAATCCGTTCTGGAAGTCCGTTCTTAAACCGAAACCGTTCTTAAACCAAGGTGTGCTTTCCCTAATGAGGCCTCCTGCCGCCGGTGCCCTTCCACCATTTGGATTCCGTTCTTAGACCAAGGTAAAGTTTGCAAACCGGGACACTACTTCCGGTTTTGCAGAGTTCGTAAACCGAATAGTTCATAAACAGGGCTGCTCTTAAACCGAGGTAAAGGTAAAGGGACCCCTGACCATTAGGTCCAGTTGTGACCGACTCTGGGGTTGCGGCGCTCATCTCGCTTTATTGGCCAAGGGAGCCAGCGTACAGCTTCCGGGTCATGTGGCCAGCATGACTAAGCCGCTTCTGGCGAACCAGAGCAGTGCACGAAACGCCGTTTACCTTCCCGCCGGAGCGGTACCTATTTATCTACTTGCACTTTGACGTGCTTTCGAACTGCTAGGTTGGCAGGAGTAAACCGAGGTACCACTGTATAAATTTTATTTAAAAAAAATAAACGTGTTAAAAAAATAAGCCCACAATTAAGCCCATATTTATCTCACTCTCTCTCTCTGTCCACCAAGTTAACATGGTAAGAAAAACCTTTGCATCCAGAAAACATTTGGGTCTGAGCCTTCAGGAGAAAAGTTATTACACATTTCAATATAATGTTAGCTTTGGACCTCTGAAATATTCCCACCTAATGCTGGCTTTGGTTATCCAGAAATAGAAGTAAATAGCAATTCTATATCCTCCTGAGCCACAGCATCAGAGGCATATATGTTGCTATCCCCAAACATAGAGGTCTCACTTCTGCCTGTCAAGGCTATGAAAAACACAGGAGGTACAATGTTCCCTATGGCCATTCCCCAGTTGATGTGGCTCTTTGGACAGCAACAAGAAACTGAGCCTGTCATGTCATTGGCTCAGTCCTGTGGAATACTCTGCCAGTAGAGATTCGGCAGGCGCCTTCCATGCCAACTTTTAAACATCTGCCGAAAGCTTTTCTATTCTGCCAGGCCTATTCAGGAGATTAAGAGTACATCCTCCACCATGAGTTACTAATATTTGTTGTTAATTTTTTTGTTCTTAACTTGTTTTTAACATTAATGTTATATATAAATATTTTTTACAAATAAACAAATCTTCCATGCCTTCAGAACTGGAAATCTGAAGTACTGTCACACTAACATTCACACATGGGGCAGTTTGAAAGCTTTCGCTGCTGGTACAAACTGCTGCAGAGCTTCTGAGGGTGGCAGGTCCTCACAAAAGCACTTCACATTTACAGCCAGCATCTGCACTGGCTCCATATATGGCAATGCTAGTTGTACTATTAGGCAGCAGCTGGCTTCTCTCCTGCAGCACATTTTGGGGTACTATTAGACCACATTGTTTTGATAGTTATCTAACTCGCTGTTATATATTTACAACCACACGGGCACTATTTGGATTTTATGTCTCACTCCCTAAAAAGCTCCTCTCTGCTTCTGAATGTGGGGACATGCCACCTTCAGAACATGTTATCTTTTATGCATGAGAGGTACACATGCGCCTGCTCTTTCACAGCATGCACATGACCACTGGAGCATATGTGGAATCGATCCTCAAACTCATGCTCCCCACCTTGCACATCATGTACACTGATGTTGACATAGGATCATAGAATTGTAGAGTTGGAAGGGACCCTGAGGAATATGCAACTGACCTATACGGGGATCGAACCTGCAACCTTGGCATTATCATCACCATGCGCTAACCAACTGAGCTATTCATGCACTAATGATGTTCTCCATGTAGCTAGTACCTCGCCATATCTAGAGCCTACGCATCCGATCACATTGTGAAAACTACCCCTAGAAAAGTACACCTTTGCTCTGTTTCATGCATTCAGTTATTGACATGGCTTCTACAGTTTTGATTGGGATATGGATTGGACCACCTTGACCGCTGGAGTCCAAGCACTGGCAGCCTCAACAGTGGATTACTGCACTGCACTCTGTGTGGGGCTGCTCCTGACCCTCAGTTGGAAGCTCCAGCTAATGAAGAATGTGATGACTTGCTGATGGGGCAGACAACCAACAGCATCTGACACCTCTGCTAAAACATCTGTACTGGCCGCTCATATGTTACCTGCACAGGTTCTAGATTCTCGTCATAGCTCCATCACAGGAGAATGTTGTTATTTGTTCCCCAGGTTTTTTACTATCTGTTGTCCATCCTCACTTCTGACTTTCAGGTATCTCTTGAGGACTTTTATATACTGACAGGCCTATTCACTTTACATTTTCTTAAGATGAGCCAGTCATTTTAATGATTCCTTCGTACAGTTTCTATGGTATTTTTACGTTTTATGTGCATAAATTGTTGTACACCACCTTGATATTTCACAAACAAATACAATTTCAAAACTCAGCTTATTCTCCAGGAACTAACATCATCATCAATTGTTCTTTTGTTACACAGCCTTTCCTGTCAAGGAAGACACCTTGGGCTAGAAGCACCTAAGAATGTCCAGACTCCCCACCAGCTCCCAAAAGTGTATTAAGGCACCATAAAGACAAGCAGATTTATTGGCTGCCTGGGACCAGAGTCCACTTGTAGACTTGTAGGTCGCGAGCCTATGAGGCACAGTGGTTAGTGTGTCAGACTGGGAGGCTGGGGTTCAAACCCCCACTTGGCGATGAAGCTCACTGGGTGGCCTAAGATACCTTACAGGGTTGTGAGCATTAAATGAAGAACCATGTAGGTCACCTTGAACTCGGAGAAAAGGGGTGATATAAATGCAATAAAATAAAATAAAAATCAGAGGAATAATGACCTCAGATGTGCAAGTGGCAAGGCTGGCAACCAAATCACTATCCTTTGCCGGTAAGATTTTTCAAAATATTCTTGCCACCCACCCATAGCTGTCAACTTTTCCCTTTTCTTGCGAGGAATCCTATTCGGAATAAGGGAATTTCCCTTTAAAAAAGGGAAACGTTGACAGCTATGCACCCACCACCGATTACTTTCTGCATTTACATTTGCAAACGAAAATAAAAAAAAAATAAAAAGGCGCTTCATGAAGCGCACCTCCCCTATGGTTTAAATTATGCCTCTCTGACTTCGATGTCACCAAAAAACAAGCTTGCCTTGAGAGGGACGCAGCTTCTACCGTCCCCATCCACAGCACAAGAGGGAATCCATCGACACCCTCCCCTTGCGCTCCCAAGGAAGCTGCTCTCTGTCCCTCTGCCCAGCCGGCGCACGCGCAGTCGGAGCCGCCCGCCTGCCCCTTGTTCTACAGCTGGAAATCGTGCGTGGAGCTTGGCGTCCCCGTTGCCAAGGCGACCGCCCGGGCGGCGCCAGCTGGGCCGAAGTGTGAATGGGTGATGTCACGAGCCAGGCGCCGGCCCGTCTAGAGCAGCTAGAGCCAATGAATCAGCTGAGCCGGGGGCCGGAAGCTCGGCCGAGTAGGCGCGCGCTGGGCGCGAGCCTGGCTAACCAGCAGGCGAGGAAGCGCGCGCGGCTTTCGCCGTTTTCTGCAGCCCCACGTTCTGTGAGGGAAGGAGGAGCAGGCTTCTGTTGCAGGAGAAGTCCTGGAAGGAACTTCTCTCCCCACCCAACTGCAGAAACGCCCAAGGTTAAAAACATGATGGAATCTGTGTCTTTGTATTATGCAAAGCATCAATACTTCAGAATTATTATTTTAAAAATAAAAAAGCTAGGTTATTTTCTTTTTGTCTATCAGAGCTCCTCTGCCTGAAATTCACATCTGCCTTCAGCTGAGATCCCACCTTTCCTGCACAGGTAAACCAAGGAAGATTTAGTAGTGGAACCAGGAAGACGGTGTAATGTAGCTCCCTCAGTTACCTACTGTACCTGGGCTCTTGAGGCTTTTTGGCAGAGGTGCTGCTGCTTTTCTTAGCATGAAAAGCAGAGTTGAGGAAAACAGATGTTTGAATCTAAGCCTCTCATGCTGATGTTGGCTGAAGGGGCCCTTCTGGAGATAAGGCAACAGGTTTCTCTCCCAGATGACCTAATTTATTGAACATCCATCATAGGAGCCAACTCCTAGCGGCCAAAGGGTCTTCCCCCACCCTAAAATATTTGAGGGTGCTTCCCCCCCCCCAAGTTGATGGGCATTGTCATTCAAATAGTGTGCAAGCGCCACATCATGTCAAATATGTGGGGTGGGGCTTGCTCCTCCCTGCCCCCAATATTTTATTCAAGTTGGCACCCCAGCATCCATTGTGATTTGTTTGAACAAAGTTGTCGGGAGGCTGGACAACTGCTGTTGATTAAGCAGTCATTCTGACTTGCTTGTGGGGAAGTTATACAACTGTGTGTCAAGTGGTAGTTCTCCACAGTTTCCCGTTCAGTTTCCTGTCAGTTTCCTTATTGCAAAAAGTTGTGGGGGAGGGGTTAGAGTGTGTTTGTTGTGCACGAGGGCCATTTAACAGCAACTTTAATTTGCTGGTGTGTGACTGAATTCCACTCAAATGTGGAGACGGTCTGGCAGCTCCCTTTTGTTGGAAGGTGTGCATTTAGCCTAATTGACATGGACAGCTGATTGTTGCTCTCTTCCTCACTGATATTTTAAAAAGCAATAGGGGAAGTGAAATTTACCGTAACAGGATCTATGGCCCTGGGTTGCCAGCCGTGAAACAAGCATGCCTTCTCTACCCCCTACCCATAATATAGGACGACAAGCTCTCCCACAACAAATGCAGCTTGTACTGTATGAGACAGCAAACTTGCCCTGTGTTACAGTTACTATAATAATGTCAAATTTTGCCATGTTTTCATTCCAGATACAGTACAGCATACAGTATTCGGTAACTGAATAGTTCTGGTATAGCTGCTGAAATGACTAGTTTGGACCCAGCACTGTGTCTCGCCACAATCATGATTCAGGAGAGATTCTATAATAAAACATTTTGGTGGAACCTAGACAGAACAGACTCACTTTCAAAAAATTGTCTGTCTCTGATCCCTCAGAGTAAGCCCTGCTTGCATGCTTTGGTCATCTACTGCTTGATTACAGCTGCCTTCTTCCTGTCACACATCAGCTCTCCTACATCTATTGAAAACTCTGCTACCAAAATAAGTGGCCTCACATCGCTCAGACAATGCAACGCCTCTCTTCAAATCCCTTTACTGGACCCCCATCCTCTTCTGTCCCCAGCAGAAATATTTTGCTCTTACCTTGTCCCACCTTATCTTTCAAACCTTGTTTCCTGTTTTACCTCTCACACTTCCAGATGTTCTTTCACACAACTCTGCCCATCACTGACCCCATGGATGTGTGGACACATATCCCCAGTGCCAGACCAAGAAATTTTGCTGCCTGAAACAAACTCTCTGCTCTAGGGCCAACACTTTGAGAAGTCTTGCTGCCACATTCACCCACACACCCTTGAAGCAGGTTGTTTGACCCTGCAGCAAAGCCTCTTCTTTAACACATACATTGCACTGCCTCTCTCTTTCCTTAAAATAATATAAGGAACCAGAACTGTGGTGGCAAAAAGTGCAGGGTCCCTTTGTGACAGTCACAGACACAGACTAAGATCATACAATAATCTTACAATTATATAATAATTAGGAATGCATTGCAGTTATTAATGCAGATCTTCATGTGTTGCTTCTCAGCTAGCTCTACTATTATCTGTACACATACATGGGCAGATGAATTGGAGTGCTCCAGCATTTTCTTCTACTGTGACTTAAGTTGTGTTTTTGATAAAAGTCCCATTGTACATCAAAGAACCTGCACACCATTCTCTTGAAACTGAAGCGCCTTGTACTTCCAGTGTACCTGAATGCTTAGCTTTGGAGCGTGTGGTGGTTGGAAAACTTCCCTTTCGTGCTGACTGTAGGATGCCGGAGCTTCTCGCCCCTCTGTGATCCTGGACCACTGACAGGAACACACCTTTAGGTTAAGAAATCCCACCATCTTTGCACATTGATCATATTCTTGTACGATTTTGCTCGTGCAAAACAAACATCACTCAGTAGTTAATAAAATTACCAGTCTGTGTAAATTAAAGAATGAACGAATGCAAGTTTAAATTTTACCTGTAAGAATGATAATGGGTACAGTTTTGCTGGCCTGCAGCAACCATGGAACACCTCACTTGCTACAAGTTACATGTACTAGACCCAGATCATTAGTACATTCCAACACTTTATTCCATCAGCAGCATTTTGTGCCTTTCATAACATTATTCTTCCCACTATTTCCCCAGCCAATGCAGCGGTTGACACTGTGTACTATGTGCACGGAACAGTCCCCATGCCACAGCTTTGCTGCTGTTGACCAGCATACACACTAAGCTTGCTGTTAGGAAGGGAGGTCATGCTGTAAAAATAACGAGATGCGTGGCTGGGAGGTGTGTGCGCGCAGTTTCTACAGCATTGCTGCAGAGGAAAGAGGTAGCTATGATGCCTGTGGTATTTTGTGAATAATTTAAAGTTTAGGTTGATTTACTATTTATTATTTATACTTCTTTAGATGCTGTACCACTCAAGCAAAGAAACGTCCATAAAGCTCTCTAAACAATAAGGAAAAGGTGGTAGTAGTCATTGTGGCTATTGCTTTCCTCTGCAGCAATGCTGTAAGCAGGCTGAACAGCACTTCTCCAAACACACAGCTCCCAGTTATTTTCAAGCAGTGACCTGCCTTCCGTAGTAAACTTATTCCATGCATTAAATGAACAGGATATAGTGTATGGATTGGGACTAGCAGTACCATTGTTTACAGTTATTAAAGTACTCAAACTTAATTACATTGGACTTAATCCAACCAATTTAGGCACTGTATTCCATTGACGGGAGAAATTTAAGCACGAGTTTAATTCTTCCACTGCAGTCAATGGGACTTAAAAGTGCTTACTTTGGCCGGATTGCACTTTTTTCTTTCTTTCATCATCAGCTGGGAGGGCTTTTAAGCAATTTAACAGTTTGACTGTGGCTCAAGATTTCTTAGGTGGGGGATTATTAAGCCCAAAGGAGGGGTTGTATTAAATATATTCCTTTGCAAATTTTTGGAGTAAACTTATAGACATTTCAAACTTAATTTCGGGAGGGGGGGACCACAGGCATTAATACTTTTTCACTGAATATTGACACTTTCGAGAGTTAAAACTTTCTATTCAAAACTTAGCTCCCAAACGATTGGGGTGGTAATGGTGGTTAAGAATCAAACTGCTGTAAAAAGAGAGAAGAGGGGAAAGCAGGGTAATTAATTTTATTTTTTAGATTTCCTTTTCTTTAAACATTAAGCATGGATTAGGTATTTAACGATTCTGATTCCAACCTATCATAAGATCATGAAGGAAGAGAAATATAAATCCTATATGTGTGTGTATGTATTGTTTTAAATAGATTCTAAATATAATTGCCAACATCAAGGTACTATACTTTTTAAATTAAGTGCATTAAAACAGGGAATATCACTTCTGGGGCTGAAAACATTAATAGAGCCTGTTAGTAAATCAATCAATCAGTTAGTTTTTTACTCAAATTTTTACCCAAGCTGTCTGCAATAAAGGGTAGCGGAAGGGGGGGGGTTAATGCTGACAGCTTTGTTGTAAATGTTCCTTGTTCCTTGAGTCTTGCAATATGCTTAAGATGATCCTCCAAATTATTTACACTGTGTCCTTTGTTCTGTAGGTAAGAGGGCATGTTAAATGCCTTTAAATTGTGGCTTGATGTATCATGTAATGTATTTATTGGGACATTCCTGATATTAAGTGCTGCTGTAAGAATTGTAAACACCAGACTGTGCTGCTCCTCCAGATTCCTGTTTACTGAAGACTGTACTGAATAAGATCTTGAAGCAACTCCCTGCACCGTTCAATTTCTGTTCATGTTTTTTCAGCATTAAAGCACAACAAGTAAGCAATTTATGTAGGCTTTAGCATGCAGATTAATTTCTCAAGCAGGGTCAAACTGAAGTTTATGATGATTTGCGAATTCACAGAGTCCTTCTTTTGCTTCTCTTAAAAAAAATTTTTTTTTAAAGTTTTGTGACTTTTTAACACCGTTTCTCCATAACCTGAATTAAGAAAAATTAGCAGCACTTACATCTCTCCCACGTATAGCTTTAATGTACCTGGCAGAGATCTAATATGATGACACTGTTGCTGCAGAGTAGAAATGCCCTGAGAACCTTCCCTCTCTTTCTCTCTCTCTCCATTGATCATCACCTGCAGTGGACCTCTTACAATGGTTTAATCCTATTCCCTCCATCAAAGAT